GACTAACTTGGGATTCAAATCCGAACCCACTTCGGAATTCAGATATAGACTAACTTGGGATTCAAATCCGAACCCACTTCGGAATCCAGATATAGACTAACTTGGGATTCAAATCCGAACCCAATTCGGAATCCAGATATATCTAGATATAAATTAACTTGTGATTCAAATCCGAACCCAATTCGGAATCTAGATATATCTAGATATAAACTAACCTGAGATTCAAATCCGAACCCAAAGTCAGTGATTTTATATGTTAGAGAAACCACCAGAATTTTGTTTTTCTTTCAGGCCTAACTGTTAGCAAAATGTATGTGCATGTGTATAAATCACGAAGAATAAGCATTGTTAGAGTTTGCAAATTCCGAGCTGGCACGAGGCGCGAATTCTAATCGCAAGATGCCTGCTGTCTCAACCTTCAGTGTTGCCGGCTCTAGGGCACGCCTTCCACTGATACTACGCCTCTACCGGGCTGGATCTAACGTAGAACAACTTCTTGGCCTACAATGTGTACGCGCGCACGAATGCGACAAGAGATATGATTATATTGCAGGCGCTTTTATTATTCCCCAGGGGACTCGTTAAAAGTGCTTATTAAACGAGTGTTTGTGATGGATTTGTTTGGCAAATATCTGTTTGACGTTTTAAAATATAGTAAAAAAAAGAGGGGGGAGGCTTTAATTGCAACGTAATAAAATTACGTAGACGAGAAAGAAAGCAACGCTTGTACTTGGTTTGAACACGAGTCAAAATTAATTACCAAAGTTAAAAACATAAATCGGATAGGTCGAACCAAAGTTCACGCTCGCAGGAAAATTAAAAAAAACGTAGACGAGAACTCTTTTTTTGTTTATATATATACATATCATTATAATTTTAAAATATTCTTTGACAGATGACTTTGTACCGAGGGCAATAAAATTAAACGTTGACGTGGTTCCTTGAAATTCAGTTGTATATATATTACAGTAAGGTTTCTTTTATTTTCATACCTATATGGTCGATGTTAGATCGAGAAAAAGAAAGAAATCCCTTGTGTGTATATAGAATGGGCAGGTTTTGGGGAGTAATGCTTAGGCTACGAAGTAGACAAAACGTGGAAAACTCAAGCATAAAAGCTAATTCACCTATTATTATCTATATCTTGGCGATAAATAAATATATGAATAAACCTTCAACTGCCGTAAACGCGATCTAACAACAAACATAATTAGAGTATGCTTCGAATTGGCACATTTTCTCGTTTTAGGCCTACTTTGATAACTGACCTGTACTTTCGTTTTAGGCCTACTTCGATAACTGACCCGTATTTTCGTTTTAGGCCTACTTCGATAACTGACCCGTACTCTCGTTATAGGCCTACTTCGATAACTGACCCATACTCTCGTTATAGGTCTATTTTGATAACTAACCCGTACTCTCGGTATAGGCTTCCTTTGATAACACAAGCATTCCAGTGACGATAAAAACAAAATAATACTAATTTAATAATGTACTATTTTCATTTTACCATTGTTTAGTCTTATTTTTAATTTCGTTGTTATTCATTGTAATCATAAAATTGATATTGAAAAACAAATGTGTCAGTGTCTTGTACGTCACCAACAGGCTTCAAGGTCAGAGAGTGCATGATAGTGAAATATCAGGGTGACATGACATTTTATTGAGGTTATTAATAAGTATTTCGTAATTAATGATGTACCTATCTAGCAGTTCGGGTTTGTTGTGTTTGTACCCATACCAAGATCTTTTATTAATATGAACACCTGCCCTGTACTGTTAGTCACTCAAAATGTTTCAACCACAAATCCTTTACTTCGCCGACCCCCCC